TATTTAAGAAGCTCGAGCCATCCCAAAGGCCAGTCCTGTCACTAGACACAAGGAAGCCTCAGACAACTGATTTTAGGTGTCATGAAAGGGCAGAAAATTGATATTTAATGTATTGTTGCTGCATTTTTGTTGCCAAGGAGGGGAAAGCAGTTGTGCGATTTTCTCCCTCATTTTGGCACCACACACCTTGATATGGGGTGTTAGGGACAGGGAGGTGTCATTTGCTTCTCTGCCTTGAGAAGCAGAACCCATTCCACAATTCTGTGAGGTAGGTGAGCCCTGGAGTGCAGCCTAAGGCCACTCAATGAGTAGAGATCTCAATCTGGGCCTCTGTGGTCCTGGCATGATATAAGGTTGTGGGTCCTGCCCTGCCCTGCCCAGGTCCTGATGGGATGCACAGCTTCTGGCAAAGGCAAATGTGGCCTGCTTCTCTTGGTTATCTCTCATGCATAAGCACCAGCACAGAATGTGCAGGTCATTCTGTTTAAACTGTGAGCATATAAAACGTTACATGCGTTGTGTAAAACCAGGGAGACCAGGGCTATTCTTGCCAAAGACAAAGGAAGCACACCCTACCCAGCCTCCAGCCCCGCCACATTCTGCAGATCGATAGCTGTGCAACCCGGAGAAGGAGGCATGCCACTCTCTCTCGTCTTGTACGACGTCCTTTAGTTGTAAGGTTCCTCAAACGCCCCTGCTCTTTTTCTTCCCACGTCCGCCCTCCAGCATCCAAGCCTGGAGGCGTGTATCAATTATGCTGCTTGCTTCTGGGAAATGCCGAGTGATATTTTTGGTTCTCCCGGAGTGGGCAGCAGAGAGGCCGGCGGTTGGAATAGCCAAGAGACGACACGGCCGTCATCGTCATCAGTCACTCGCTGCTTCGCCTGCGTGCGTGAGCGGGCGGCGGCGGCGGCTGCGCCAGCCTGGATCGCCGGTGGGAAGGAGGCCAGCTCCTCTCCCTTCTGCGCTAACCTTTGGCCTTTCGAGCGGGCGGGTTCGGCGTCGGAGGCCTCACGCCGTCTCGTAGCCGCGCTGCCTCCTCGCCCTCCTCCAAGAAAGGCTGGAAGCGGGGTCACTGCACCTTTAAAGTCCTGCACATTTTCTGCTGTGTACAAACACCAAGGTCTAGTCGCAAAGTTAGTAACTCTGGGCCCTTTTTAAGGTGGGCTGGAGCGGATTGCGTCTAGGAAGCAGCGTCGTGGAGCCCTGTGGTTGTTCCCAGCGGATGCCGCTGGGCAGGCCCTCTAGCTCAAAGGCCAACCCTCCGCAAGGTGCACTCGGTGCTCGGGTCAGAGGACAGAGGAAGCCGGGTTGGATATGTTGCCGTGCTACCTTGGGCCGTGCCACCTTAAGGAGCGGTTGTTGGTGTCGTGGAGTGGGAGGTTGTCTGCAAGCACATGGGGATATTAAAGCAGCCTGTGCAGTACCTTGAGCCAGACTTGTCTCTGGGGGTGGGGGATGCAGAAAGGCTTCTGGGCCTTGGTCTTGGACACCCATCTTGGATGAAGCCCCTGCAGAATGGTTTGTTGCTCAGTCCCTCCCTCCCTCCTGGCACATGGCACAACAGCCAACTGGTGCCCACTGGCCAAGGCTTCCAGGGAGAATGCAAAGAAGGGTAGCAGCCCCCGCCTTTGCATTAGAGCAGCCTGGCTGGTTAAGATGGCAAAGCCTTCCAGGGTTCTCTGCAGGAGATGTTGAGCTGTGCCAGAACCAATAGCCTGTGCACCACATGGAAGGTTCAGGCTCTCTGCTTCTTTTTATGTGCAGTAATATTAACTCCACAACTTACCTCTGTGTCCATCCAATGAGAAATCCATGCTTCTATTATTCTAATTTTATAGATTGGGAATTGAAATCGAGGGAGGAATTTTTGCCTGCTTGAATCCACTAGATTAACCTGCTACACAGACTGTTCACAATGGAGAGAAAAACAAGTACCATCTTCCTTCTGACTGATAGAAGGAAGATGCCCAAGAGAAAGGAAGTAAAGGGCAATCTAATTCTTTAAAGGTGCCAAGTGTTCCTATTTTCCAGAAATACCTCATGGCCTAGATATTCTGAATGCTCTACCCCACAGAACTGAAAACAACAAGCAGTTAATTCTAGACAAACTATGTGAAGAGTTAAAAACTATTGTGTGAATTCCCCCACAGCTTTTCTGTTAAAAAGCTAGATGTGGTCATGTTTATTAATTTCTCTGCATTGAATTCAGGCCTTTGTCAGGTGACAGTCTTCAAGAAAGAAAGTTTTGATGAAGTTATTTGTTTAAAGTTCAGAATTTGAGGAAAATTGCAAACGTTCCTTATAGATTGCTTCCCTGTAGTTGTCTGCTATGCTCCTGTTGGGACTTTAATTGATTTGATATTTCTGAAAAGCTTGGTAAAACCAATCTATCTTCTTGGTAGAGCTTGGCTCACCAGCCTGCCTCAACTAGTATGTTCAGGTTGGTCTGCTAAGTCCACAGAAGGTGCCAAAAGAAACAAACATGTAATTTTAGCAGCAGAAAGCACTTTGAGTCAATTGGCAGATTTTGGAGATATGTTGGAGTGAGCTTACTGCCTAGAGGAACAATAGAAATAATTGCTCTTTCTGCAAGAGAAAAAGGAGAGTAAATACTCATGGTATTAAAAATGCTTCCTAATTTCCCCTTTTGTGTTATGGGATTTTGTTGGAGACATTTTTTATTCAGTAGTTTGCTGTCTTCTTCAGCCTCTCTAATCCCTAATCCTTTTGCACTGAATTGCGGGGGGTGGGGGTGGGGGAGGGTTGGTTGTTCGGGACCAAGGGGAATCAGAGTAATGGTGCAGTCCTATGTCTGCTTACATTGGAGCAAGACTGTTGAACTCAGTCATGCTTACATCTGAGTAGACATGCATAGGCTTATGTGGCAAATCCCCTTTTACATTCTGTAATATAAATTACCTCCATGCATTTCAGGATCAGTCACTTGCATATATTTCATGAGCAGATTGCTCAAATGCTATTAAGGGCTTCATATATTACTCACATGCAATGAGTAGTTAATGAATTCTGCATCACCTAGGTGAGGACAACAGAGCTTATCCCTGAATGCGTTGCTGGAAAATTTGCTGAAGCCTGGAAAGAGATTATGAATGTTGGGAACTAGGGATTACTTAAAATGGCATGCCAGGTTATAGAAAGGTGAACTCAGTTTGGGGAAGCAAAATAATACATTGCTCATTCCTGGTATTTGTTATTGCCAAAACAGACTCTGTGGGTCAGATACAGTTTGAGTCATGTCCTGTTATTTCATTAGGTCTAATCTAAACATGGTTAATGTTAAATCCCAGTTATTCCAGTGGTCTACTCTATTCATATCTAAGCATGAATCCAGCCCAGTATCTGCAAAAGACTCCATGGTGCATGAAGCAGTGATACTCCTTGTGAGTTCTCACTGTTACTTCAAAGGCATGGTTTTGGGAATCCTTAGCTCTACCATTAGGATAATTCTTCTTTAAGATGTGTCTATATGGTTACCCTTTCTGGAAATTAGGGGCTTGTTCTTCACAAATTAAAGGCATGTTTCTGATAAGTCTGTAACTGCTGCCAGTCTGATCTTAACTTGCTTTAGTTGGACTTTCCCTTTTAAAATTCCTGTAAAAGTCTCCTGCCATTCTTATTACTGTCAGAAGCATTTACCTATTCTAAAGTTTCAAAAGGGGAGCAGTTCCATGCCAACAGTTGATGGCCATTTTGTTGGTCAGGCTGCAGACAGAAGCTTAGAATGCTTCTTTTCCTCTTTATTCCTAACTGGAATACATTTTAATTGAAACAAGACACCACTCAGCCCAGTATGATGTTATAGTAATTATTAACGTACATGTACTGTAGTTTGCTTCTCATGGGAACATTGTGTGTGCTTTCTGCTTTTTTCCTGATGATCCAGGGCTGTGCTAAAATATGGGTCCATTATAATACAGTGTGCAACCATGATAGACCTGTCAAAGGTACAAATATTCCATGAGATTAGGAAGGAAAGACTAAAAATATTGTATACAATTATAACATAACTGTTCCTGACCAAATTATGTGCATGGGATTGAATGGGAAGGCTCCCCATAGTGGATTGTGAACGTTAATGTTGCAGTAAGGGGCTTGCTCTGGAATTTGTGGGCTGCTTGCAAGAGCACACTGTGGAAATATGTCAGAATAGTTTGGAAGGGACTGAAGAAAATAAGAGTTTTCTTGCAAGAAACAAATATAATTATGTAATAGATTTATTCTTGCTAGGTTACTTGCTTAAGTAAATTCACTAGTTTTAAGGTGCCACAACCCTCTTAATGTTTTTAAATGTCACATTCCCGTAGCAAGTACATGAGACATGTTCCGAGATGGGAGTGTTGCTTATCCGCCGGCTGCTTAATGGCCCAGTCGTAGGTCTTTTAACGACCTAGTCCTATGAGGGCAGTGATAGCACCAGGGCAAAGTTTAGGGTTTAAGTGTTCTAGGGCACTGTACATGTTATGTGACGAACTCTTGCGGACTAAGTTCTCCTTTGTGGAAATTTGGGTTACATAGTTACTTGTAGCACTAAATCACAGCTTCTGTTGGAGTGGCCTTCTATACGTGCCATTGTTAAAACGAAACTGTACAGAAAGATGGTAAAACCCGAAATGGGATTTTTTAAAAAGCCCCATAGGCGAAGAAGACACCAAAAGAATGGAGACACCGTATGAAGGGGTATACAGTAAGGACTGGGAGGTTGCGAGGGCTCGAGCTGGGGTGGAGGGAAGAGAACAAAGTGTGTCCACAGGGATATGCGAAACCAGAGCATTTTTTTCCGGAGAGAAGCGAATTAGATGGAATATTTTCCTCACGGACTCCTTCCACACTCATTTCTCATCTCCCGAGCCCCCACGCCCTTTCGGGTCCCTCCTTCCTCTTCTCTCTCCATCGGAAGCACCCGTCCACTTTAAGGCAATGGGCGTGGCTGGACGTGTAGCTCTCGCGCGGCTTAGAGGCGGAGCTGTCGCGAGCATGAGTCCAAGCGCCGATTGGTTGCGGCGGGTTGAATGTAAGATGGCGCCCAGGGAGCTGTGAGGGGAAAAAAGACGCGGGGCCTGAGGTGGCGACGGCGTGAGGCGGCTGAGGGGCCGGGGTGAGGCGGACTTGGGCTAGGCCGCGGAGAATCGAGGGGCGCTCGTGGGAGTGGGGAGGGCGGTATTTTGGAAGGAAGCGCTGTTCCAGACTTGGCGGGGAGAGGAGGCGGCGGCAGGGAAGAAGAGGGGGAGGGGTAGCGGGGCCGAAGCGCGCTCCCGCGCGCTTGGCCTCGACTGTTGTGAGGCGGTGGAGCCGCCGCTTGGTGCGCGTGCACGAGAAGGGATTGACGGCTCGCAGGGCGGGATCGGGCCGGTGCGCGTACACTTGAGGCCTGCACCATTCCCCTGTGCTCGGCCCCGCCTTGCTTTCCCAACTCTTTTTTTTTCTGCCTCCGCCCACTGTTCTGGGAGGGGGAGGCGATGCGAGGCCGTTCCCGCCGTCTGTAACGCGCGGTGGAAACCAGCCCCTAGAATTAGGCGCGCGCCTTATCTACTACAGGCGGGTGCGCGCGCGATTTCTGTCTAAAAGGCGCCGACTCAGGGACAGCAGCAGCAGGCGAAGTTCCAGGATGAGGCCAGCGGGCCCTGGTGCTGCAGAGCCCTGGGGAGGCGGGGTGAGATGCTTCGTGTCGCGCAGGTTGTGGCCGATTGCATTGCTCCTAGCCATTATCGTAAGCTTTGTGCGGAGAGGATGCTAATTTCCACTCTTGGCCAAAGGCTGTAATAATGAAGGCGCATCATGATAAGGCGGGGCCTGTGGTGTGCGGGCCTTGCCTAGGAGCTAACAAGGTTTATTATTTGTCAATAGCTTGTAACTGCTGGATGAGCTAGTTACATTGTAGGTTGTTGCAGGCCAGTTAGCTCAACTGGATGATCCCAACAGCTAATCTAAGCAACTTTTCATACTTCAGCTGATCACAGTTGTACAGATTATTTCTTTCTGAATTTCATCATTAAAATGAGGTAGCTGTGATTTAAATGTTGTTATGTTCCTATAAAAATTAATTAGAATATATATCCCTTTTAAATAATGCTGGTTGAAAAGATATGGATGCAAGGAACTACAGAGAGTCTTTTCCTCGCATTCAGCTCTCTGAGCCTATCATATGAACTGTATCTTTAGCATTCCTTAGAGTCTTATGGTACTTTAAAAGCGAATAGATTTGTTAACGCACAAACTTTCATGGACGGGAATCCACCTCATTCCTACTGACAGGGCTCTCTTAGGCTATCAGGATATTGGCTAGAGAACACTGCTATAGTGTACAGAACATTGTTGACATGGAAATGTTTTGCCAGCCTGTCAAAGCGTGTCCTAATCAGTGGGTTAGACAAGAGGTTTGCCAAGGTGGAACTGTGTCTTGTCTTAAGTGACTTACTATGAGAGTACTACAGCTGTCATTTGTTAGTTCACTCAAAATTCCAGAAACCATATCATTTGGAACTTCTTTTATGCTAACATTCATGTTTAGCAGATTACATAGAGTTCCCAAGAAGTCTTCCATTCAGGCACTGACTAGATCTAGATCTGCTTATTTTCAACAAGGTGACTGCATCATTTACCCTTAGACTGAGATGGGCAACTTGTGGTCTTCCAGATGTTGGCTTACAGTTTCCATTAGCTCTAGCCAGGATGGCCAATGATGAGGAGAATTGTAGGCCAAATCATCTGCAAGGCCACAAGTTCCCCTTCCTGGTTTAGATTATACCTTCTGATGTTCACATCAAGTTTACTTCCATTTAAATTCTGGAAGAAAGAGCTTCCTGCTCTGGATGCTGTTTAGTGCTTGTTCAGAAAGGTCTGAGAGAAGAAAACCTAAAGATGAATTAGAAAAGCTGTAGAACCAATTAGCAGTGTTATGCAACATAAGACTACCTTCCCTTTGTATATTTTAAAAATAGTTTTAAAATGGGGATGGAAAGGGTTTCTTTGTTCTGTCTTCTCCAGAATGTCACGAGTCTTAAGAGTTCAGGACATGAAAAAATCAGACATACAAACAGCAATGGTGCCTGGTGAGTCTAGATTGTCCACATACTACAAATGTGTGTGCCTTCAATAATGCTTAAGTTCTCTGAATTAACTGCTTGCTAACTAATTTCATCTGACTGTCCAAACTTAATGTTTATATGAAAATGCAAATATGGGGAAGACTTATTTCTTGAGCCAGGAGAAGTTGTTTACCATTTATTTTTTTAATGAAAAACAATGGCAAGTATATTATGCCAAGGTCATATAAAGATTGAAAGATCTAAATGATTCTTCGATGTTGTATTAATCCATATGATTCAAGCTACTCAATTATTAATAACATAAATGTATGTCTCTATCTCTGAACGATGGTATTGCATGACACAAGAGGCACATTATACTTTTTCTCAACAATATCCTTACACTGTAGTACTGGTCTGAAATTTTCCTTTTGCAATTAATTGGCACTTGTGACAGATAAAAGAACAGGTGATTATTTCAAAGCTTCAGCATCCTGTAGTGGTAAAGCTTCTGAGGAACTTCTGCTGTGATTTTTTTGTCAACTTTGGAAGACTACAGACTTCCACATCAATCCAAGCTGCCTCTCTAATATTTATCTTTGGTGCTGGTACAGTGAAGTGTTTGATGAAGAGAACATAGAAACATTAAATTTCTGAAACATTAAATCTCCCACTCATGCAACAATGGTAATGACAGTTGCATGTTTGAAAAAGAAATTTGTTTCCTGTCAACATGTTGCAGTGTCATGAGGGAGAACATACAATGAATGTTGAATGTTAGCTAGTAGGTAACTGGCAAAGGGAACTTGAATGTAATGTTGAAATATTCTATTTGAATACTGGGGTCCAATTAGAATTTAGGGATGTACAGTTCCAGGATGTAGTTTAATCCTCTGTTGTGATTGGCTGCAAACCATTGCTGGCTGTTGTCAGAATGTATGGGAAAGGATATCATAATTTTCTTAACACAAACATGTCTACTTCTTTTGCAGCGGTGGGAGAATAAGGCAGAAGAGCTGTTTTGTTAGTTCAGATTTTCCTTTCAGTTCCATTACCTTTCAACTGTTCTCAGAAGTATGAGTTGTGCTTGTTTCACCTTACCTCTTTGGAGAGTTCTGAGTGTGCCATTTGATCCAGGCCTTCAGAATCGGCATAAATAAGGGTACAATCCTATGCATGTTTAGACAGAAAAAGCCCTTGAGCTCCTAGCTTTTCTCAGCCAGCATTTCTGCCTGGGGGAACGCTGAGAGACTTCTTTCCTGTCTAAACATGTATGGGATTGCACCCTAAGTGGTCATGTTGCCCTGACTTATATTGGTTTTCTAGTGCTGAGAGGTGTGTGTGAGAGAGAAGGAAGCCTGTCCTGTACTATCTGCTTCAAACCATAGGTTTTTTCCTTTGTCTTGCCTCTCCCTTCTCTGTATTTTAAAGAGAAGAAATGAAGCGTTAAGCAATTATTTCCTTGAACTGGGCCAATTCTCAAAATACAGTGATTCTGTCTATATTCTTTTCCGTAATACCAGTATCTGACCACTTCCATTATATTTTGGGCTTTTATTGGGTTTTTCTTTTCATGTGCATAGTAGTTTCACATTTCCTTTCCTATTGTTTGTTTATTTTAGTGTTCAACTGCAGAAAACCCTTGAGTTGTGCAATATTTCTCTTGGTAGTACTTGTAATTTCTCTTCTGCAAATAAGTGTATTTTTCACTCATTTGTTAGTATTGAAGATGCTGGACTGCGTTGGATCAGAGGACAGATCCCCCACCTGTACCCCTGAATAGTACTGCTTAATCTTGCTCCATTAAACATTGACTGGTTTATTTTCAATAACTGTGAATATTGGTATGCTACACGGCAAAAACTGTTTAAAGGGCAGCTTAATAAATTCAACAAGATTACTTGCCTACTTATGGGTGGTAGTTTGTAATCCATGTTTCTACAACCTGTTAAGATAAAAATGTGGAAAATATCTGGAAATGTGCTGAATTTCAAGGTATTTTTCATTTTTTCCAGTATATGATAGTTTGTCAGATAAAACTAGATTGATTTTATATTAGTTAGCCCAAATATTTTTATAACAGTTTTAGCATTTACAATTCTACAACTTGTTCTAATAACTTTCTCAGAGTAGAAATTAATCTCAGCTCTTAATTATATGTGAAGAGAGGTAGGAGACTGGAAGCTTTTGAATATTTTGTGATATGCTCTGGTTCATGGAAACTTTCATATTCCTTAAACTGCACAGTATGCTATTAACATTTGCTGTAAATGTCACAGTACTTTACAAAATAAGCAAATTATAGTTAAGATTTTTCTACACTGGGGTGGGCAATCTGATGCCCTTCAAATGTTTTACTGCATTCATACTTGATTGTTGATCATGATGGCTGGGACTTAAAAATATCTGAAGGGCACCAGGTTGCCTTATCCCCTTCTCTATATGTATAAAGATGGAGGTAAACTAAATGGCTCTGCTTTTCCAAAAGGCTCTGTGGCACAAGTACACTTCTATAACTTGTAGGGATATGAAGTGTCTTTAACTTTCTTAAATCTCCCTCTCTTTCTCTGTGTATGTACCACAATTTAATCCTAATCTAACTAATATCCCACAATATTGTGCCCAAGCTGTAAGGCTCCTTTGTTGGACTATGTGGTCCCAAGGATGAGATGCTGATAACTCAAAGTCATAGGCCACTTGATTAACAGTAAACAAAACTTTATTTGTACAATAAACACAATGGTTTCAAGATGTTATTTATCCTTTTCTTAGTAAATAAAAATGTATAATTTTAACGGAGGTATCACACTCTTTCCCTTCACAATCACATACAGGTCCTTATTTTTCTCCTGCACTCAGGTTTCTGTCAGCTTCTCTCTCACACACACTCTTACAATACTTGACAATATTAGGTTCTGACTCTTCCTAGTCACTAATATGTCCTTTAAGAATTCTTCTTTCTTAAATACGTTTCACAGCATTATCTGGGATTCTAATGAGAAGGCTGTGTCTTCAGATGCTGTAGGTTTGCTGACAGACCACAAAGCTGTAAACTTCTGACAGATTAAACCCCACCATAACTGCTGACAGACCACCACTCTCTGACTGAAAAGTATCTACTTCTCTCTCCTTGCACCCTTCCAAGCTCCGCCCACACATTCTTAAGTCACCAACTAATCACCTCACCGCCCTTCTGAAACTTACCAACATTCAAAGGAACACAGTCCTATAACAGTTAAAATCAACACTGATTTCAAAACTACAAAGCTCACATACCTTCAGTTTTATATCTACAACTAGTTACCATTTGGGGGAGTGACTGAGAGTGAAGATCAACATTCTTTTAGCCTTGACATACCTAAGGTTTATTCATAGTTTCTAAAAATATGGATTTAAAAAAAATCTAAATTGTTTTTCTAACTATTCTAGAATCCAGCTATATCCTTAAGCTACTTGATTAGATACAAATTCTGTTGAAATAGGTGAGGTATAATAATGTTTTTGGAATTCAAGAATTTAGAATTTCTTCTGCAGTGAATTCTGTTACTCATAGGAGGATTGTTATCCCAGCTTGGCAGCAGTGAAAGTGTATTTGAAAAGGCTTATGTCTCTGTCAAGAATTGTTTGTTAGGGCCACCACATGTGACTTTTTATTTCTGGTGAAAATAGCCGTCAGATGTTAGATTTAATCTCTCTTGCTCTTGGGGAATTGTGTTTACTGGGCCACCAGCAAAGGGAATAACATCATTAGTTCTGGTTGTCATGGAAGGCCAACCAGAAAACTTCTGCCAATTGGAGTCTTCATTGAAAAAATGAGGATCTTTATACATTATCCTTTTAATTTGAAAACTCAATAAAATATGAGACCAATATATTTCTGTTTTGTAGATCAGATTTACTAGTTAACTATAATTGAAGATTTCCCCTGGCAATTGTCTGGTTCACAAGATTAAGTAAGCTACTGTGGCTTAAATAAACTGCTCACTGGGGTATGTTGTGCTGTCTGAACCCAGACAACATGACTTTTTTGAGAGGGAAACAACTTTCAGATAACTCGGAGGAAGGACATGAGTTATTTGAGAGTCCCTCTCCCACACATACAAGCAAGGCTGACTGGGTTGGAAAGATACAACTAGCTGCACTTGGCTGGATAATTAAGCTAATCTGAGAGAGTGCCTGTTTTCTTATTAACCTGCCCCATCACTGAGGTCTTTAGCTGGCATGTCCCTGGTGGTTCCACATGAACTAAGGACTAGATTGGAGCCCAACTAGAGAAGACTCCTCTGTGTAGTGACTCGGTTTCTATGAAACTCTCTGCCTCTGGAAGTGAGGCTGGTTAACAGCAGCATATTGTTTCCAGGAGATGCTAAAAACAGTTATTTCAAGAATGCTTCCTCATCTAAGCAGCCACGGTTTATTAATATAATTTTACTGATCTTGGTTGTTAATATATTCTCTGTTTTTTAATTATGCAATGCTCTGGAGTATTTGCAAATAAAATATGGAGTACTATATAAATCCTATAAATAAACTAAATAATGGTGCCTGCCATGTTCCTGCCAATTTAAAGATTGTGCAACCTGGGTCTTAGTGTAAATTCCAGTGCTTGCAACTTCAACAACAAATAACTACATTAAAATGCAAAATAATTTTAAAAATGAAAATGTCTCTCTTTGAAGATTAGTCTTTTGGATTCATGTGGATCTAGCATGGAATATTTGCATCAGCTTCTGTAGCTAGTGGGTCTCAAATGTAACTGTATGATTCTTTTTGGAGTAGCTTTATGTGACTGGATTTATACATAACCTGGAGTATTGCATTTCCTGTCATCCTATGGCCCTTCCCACATAGCTAATAGCTGTTATTTCTCCTGCTTAGTTAGATTGGATTCATTATATTGTGATGATCCATTTTAAGGTTTCGGTTGCTAGTATGGTCTGTAATCCACCCTAATGCAGTGGATGAACTCTTAAACATCACCAGGAACAGTGCAGGGAGTAACCATGAGGGCAGCAGAAAAGTGCCTTCAACTTTATTAAAAACAAAGTGACCGTTCCTCAGATATTTTGATATTTCATATTATTGGTATTAAAACCCCATTATTAATACTATCAGTGATGGAATCTGAGGCCTTAATTTGAATCTTGTAATGCATATCTTGCTAGTAAGCACCTTTAGAAATGACATGACTGCACACAGGGCTGCCTTTGTAAAACAAAGGTTTCCTGTGAACAAATCAATGCATGTATGCTGGGTGGCTTCACTGCTATGACTTCTGGAACTGATTGACTTTTCTCTCAACTTAGGTTTTCTCACAGTGTAACACATTTGGTGGTTCTGCCTCAAGGTTTTGTTCTTTAATTACCCATTCCTTAGTAGTTTGGAATATAATGCTAAGTACGTGAGAAAGTATCTAGTATACATTGCTTGTATGTGTTGTATTCAGATATTTGAAATTATTTGTAAGTTTTGCCTAGATTAATGGAGTTAGGCTGTGTATCTTCAAAGAGCCTGGAATTTCTAACTGGAATGACAGCAAGAAATTTAACATAGGAAGAGCTATTCTGGATCAGATCATGGTCTATCAAGTCTAGCATTCTGTTCACACAGCGACCTGCCAGCGACTCATAGGTAACCTACAAGCATGAGTGCAATGTTACCTTCCTGCCCATATTTGCAAGTAACTGGTATACACAGACATACTACCTCTGATACTGGAGGTAGCATATAGTCATAAGGACTAGTAACCAATGATGACAACATTGCATTTATATCCCACATTTTTCCTCTTGTGAGGAATCCAAAACAGCTTATATACCTTCATTTTATCTTCACAACAGCAGCCCTGTGAGGTAGGTTAGGTTGAGAGTGACTGGCCCATTGAACCTCATAACCACTTGGAGATTTACCTCAGGATCTCCCAGGGACCTAGACCAACACTTCAGCCATCAAACCACACTGGCCCTCAGTGTGCTTTATTCTTCTCAAATGTGTCCAGTCACTTTTTAAAGCCATCAAAGTTGGTTCCCATCCTTACATCATGTATTTACCATTCCACAGTTTAACTGCTGTATGAACAAGTTATTTCTTTTGTATGTCCCCACTCTCCCACCAGTCAGTTTCAAGGAATGATCCTGGATTCATTAGAAGAGGGGGAAGGAAATGCCTTCTTATCTTCTTTCTCCACATGATAATTTTGTACACTTCTTGCATGTCCCCCATTACCCTTTTTTTCTAAGTAAAACGCTCCCAGAAGTTATAACCTTTATAGAGGAGTTGCTTCAGTCCCTCAGTCACTTTAGTTGCCCTTTTCTGCATGTTCTTTCAATTCACGTTACCCTTTTCAGAACTGGACATTATTCAAAGTGTTTGCACCATCAATTTGTATAAGGGGAACATGATATTGACAGTTGTATTTTTCCTTTCCTGATGAGATGTATCTTTCTCACAGCTGCCCCATACTGGGTTAACATGTTCATTGAGCTGATCACAACCCAAATACCTTTCTTTAATAGTCACCAATACCTCAGATTCTGTTAGTGTGTATTGGAAGTTATGACTTTACGTGCATCACTTTACATTTCCCTATATTGAATGGTACTTACTATTTTAATGCCCATCATTTCAGTTTGGAGATACCATTTTGGAGCTCTTCACAGTTCAATTTTGGTTTACCATGTTGGGGCCCTTGGCAACCTATCCTAAATAAATTGATGTCATCAGCAAATTTGGTAACTTAGCTCCTAATTCTTGATCACTTATCAAATTGAAAAGCATTGGTTGTAATATGGATCCCTGTGGGATGCCACTGTTTACATCTCTTCATCAGGAGAATTCACAATTTTTCCTATTCTCTCCTTTGTTTTTTAGCTGGTTTCTGATCCAAAAGAGGACCTTCCTCTTATTACATGACTGCTAAGTTTTCTTTGGTGAGGGACTTTGTCAAAAGTCTTTTGGAAGTCCAAGTAATCAAAGTCTACTGGATCACCCCTGTCCGCATTTCTATTGATACTGTCAAAGAGCTCTAAAAGGTCAGTGAGACAGGACTTAACTTTGTGGAAGCCATTTTGATTTTCTCAGCAGGGCTTATCCTATATGCTCACCCATTTCTTTAATAATGTTTTTACCAATTTACCTGGAACAGATGTTAAGCTAGCTGACTTGTAATTCCCCTAGATTCCATTTTTTTTAAAGTCATTGCATTGGCTGTTTCCATTCTTCTGTTACAGAGGCTGATCTTAAGGATGTGTTTACATGTTTTTGTTAGATGATCAATTATTTCACAATTCAATTCTTTAAGAATTCCAGGATGGATTCTATCTGGCCTTGGTGGTTTATTAACTTTCAGTTTGCCAATATCAAGAATTTCATCTGTTGCATAACTGCCTCAGTTTCTCAATTTCACTGAAATAATCAGACATGGATATTTGTCCTGCATCTTCTGCACCGAAGCCAGATCTTAAAAATTCAGTCCGCTCCCCTACAGTGTCGTTAACTTCCTTTAGTACTTCCTTAACTCTATTATCCAAGGGTCCAACTACCTCACTACTGTTTTCCTGATTCTGATACATTTAAATCATGCTTTATTTTTGGAATTGGTATTGTCAACATTATGCTCCTCAATTTTTAAAAAGCATTTTGCAAGTCAGTGCTGCCATTTATTTTCCTCATTGGATAATACATCTGTTTTCTCAAATAAGTCTAACAACTTTTCTTCAACCTCATTAACCATGTTGATGGCCTCTTAGACTTGTTGCTACTGTTCGTAAACTGTGGTACATGTTCTAGCAGAACTTCTAATACTGAGATTTCCAGTAATCTCTAAGCATTTATAAGGGATTTAAGCCTTTTGACCCCCCACCCCCTTAAATTACTTTTTTTCCTATGTCTCTCCTTTTTAGTTTCCTCTTTTGAAATCATGTGACTGTGTTAGACTTCCTTTGCAATTTCCCACATAAATATATATAAAATCTGATAGGGCTGTGGTCCGTTTTTTTCAGTTGGTTCAACATTCACATTTCATACTAGCTCCTGGATTACTCTGTTCAGGATTAAATCCAGGGTCATCTTGCTTCTGGTTGGTTCCATGATCAGTTGTTCTTGGGCACAGTTGCGGCTGAGAAATGTAATCTATTTATCATTACTAGAACACGTGCTTATATATTAAGTATGGGTGTAGTTGAAACTATTATAGTACTTTCTTGGTTTGCATGCATGCCTAATCTCATTTTGTACTTAAGGGTGTTCTAGTCTGGGGGATGACAGTATTTTCCTAGTACTAAATTACTTTTAGTGCTTGGTATTGTCAGCTACATATAGTGCTTCAAGGTTTTCCATGACACAGAGGCTTCTGGTACTAGCATAGAGGCATGGTGTCTCCTCAGGTGTCTTTGGCATATACATCTTCTGTTGTGGTACTTAATCTTTGACTAGCTATCATGTTTCACCATATCTTCCTAGCTCAGTTTGGGCAATCAGAAACACTTCCACTTTTTTCCTTAGGGATGATTCAACCTGAACTGGATGCTGCCCAGCTCTATTGCTTTCTTCCTACGGTTCAATTTAAGAGCTACTCCCTTACCTTTCTGTGTTAAACACTAGCAGTATGAGTCCTTTGTGGTTCATATGAAGCCTATCCCTCATGTAGAGGCATGGCTTTTCCTAAAATATTCCCAAGACTTAACAAATCTGAATACCTCCTTTCCACATCACTGTATCATCTGCTCATTAAGGCTCCTCAGCCTTACCTGACATGCATGTAGAACAGGTGCTTTTCAGAGAAAGCCACCTTGGTGATCCTGGGTTTCAGCCTCTTACCTAGCAACCTGAATCTGACTTTCAGGATTTCATAACATTTGTGCACATCATTAGTACCAAAATGAGCCATGGCCACTCCATCCTGGCACTGTCTACAAAACTATCAAGATGGTGTGCAATGTACACAGCCTTCACACCAGGTAGACATGCAGTATCCCATCACAAACTCATCATCTCCCCCAGATTTCTGAAGCTGTGTGTGTGACTAATGAGTAAATCTTTTAACATCACAAGCTCCTCACTCTCTGGATGCACATCTTCGGAGTGAGAGGTTTATTTTCTGAGGAATGGGTCCCATCTAAGGGATTGTTTTCCCAAGCCCTCCTTCCCTGAGACCTTCATTCTCTATCAGAACAGTGATGAGCTGGGGACTGAGCAGCTTTGATCCCTGAAGGTCTTATCCATCAGCCTTTTCTGCCTTTCTCAGCTTCTCCAGGTCAGCAGCCTTGACTTCAAAGGAATGGACTTGTTTCCTGAAAGCCAGGAGCTCACTTTACCCAGTGTGCATTCATGACTACTTTCTAGCTGGCAAAATGTCATATGTATGTTACTCAGTGGATTGTTCCCACACTCCTGCTAGCTTTTTACTTTCGTGATTTTATATAGTTAGTGTTAAGTGTGTTTACCTAGAAAACTAAATAATTTATTAGGACTAGGTGAGGAATTTCCAGTTATTTATAATTAGTAGAGACAGGTGAAGAAGGAAAGTTGATCCTGGCCACCTTGCCCTGTTAAACTTCAGTCTGCAGTTTGTGCAAGGCCGGGCATAATTCAGAATGTAGAATATTGCGTAGTTCAAATACTTCAGATTTACTTACCTATATTATCTTGGCTTGCATAATTGTGCTAGTTGTAAGGCAGAGAATTGTGCTAGTTGTAAGGTAGAGAAGAAAGTTGTGTAAATTAGTGAAACTTGTCTCTCCCAGATTTCTGAAGCTTTATTAGTTGCTGTTACTTCTGCGCTTTCAAGGAATACAAACTTGGTGTGCGTGTTTGTTTAATGGAAACCTCTTTGTGCAACTTTCCTAAAATCTTGGCTGCGTGCCTTTTAATGCATTGATGCTGAAGCAAATTGTACAGTTCTCTAGAAATTTCACAAAAGTCATTCCATGTAACAAATGTGTTTTGCCTAGGAGATACATTTGCTCTATTCAGTTAATCCTAAGTAGCCATGCAGAGGTTTCAATGTTTTGCTTGTAGAATTTAAGAATTATGGAATTAAGGGGAAGAGGTATAACTTATTCCTTCATCATTGTGCAGCCTTTTCATTTTTTGTGGTGCTTTCCCATTATATCCTACATTATGTAGTTATATTAGAACATTCTTGCATGCATTCAGTGACATTTCATTTAATGATGACATTTCAAGTAGTATTTTCTAATGGAGGTGTGGAAACTTTTTCTTCTTAGATACCGAGACTAGAGGGAACTCATGATATATGAAATCCTGGTAACAGATTTCATATATCAGATGCAGTATCTTAATCACTTGATTTGGTTTGCTTGAATTGAGCTGGGCTTGATTTGGTGTTGAAAGACAGTGAGAGAATTGATGGTCTTCTCTTTAGAGAAACTTAATAGCTAGCTGCTTGTTTGTTATGCATGACATTTCTGTAGTTTAGCTGGTGATAGTGGCTTTTCAGGATGACCTGAAGAACTATTTGACTATCTAAAAAAGACACCAGAAATATGAAACCAGGGACCTAGAGTGAAACTGCTTAGTTAATACTTGTATGTGTTTTTTCCTCTTCTAAGGGATCCTGAGGACCTTGCAATATGAATAATTCCTTGGAGAACACCATTTCCTTTGAAGAATACATCCGTGTGAAAGCACGAACAATCCCACAACATAGGATGAAGGAATTCTTGGACTCCCTTGCCTCCAAAGGCCCGGAAGCCCTACAAGAATTTCAGCAGACAGCTGCTACCACCACCATGGTTTATCAGCAAGGTGGCAACTGTATTTACACAGATAGCACAGAAGTGGCTGGATCTTTGCTTGAACTTGCTTGTCCTGTTACAACAAGTGTCCAGCAGCAAACCCAGCAAGAACAGCAAATACAGGTGCAGCAACCCCAGCAGGTTCAGGTAATCTGAAAATGAAGTATTAACTGTATTTTTTAAAAATAAACATGCATACATTTTTGCTCTGGGCAGCTTTTTAATGAATCTAAAACATTGCTCTCAAATTTCTTCTTTTTGCTTCTGAAACAAAATAGTGAGAAAGTGTGAATAAACATGTTTTTCCATTGAGTATAAATGAAGAAATTGCTATCTAATGTAAAATTAATTTGAAGTCTCTTTACCATGTATTTTTTACAGTGTATATACTTCTGTATTACATATTTATTGTTCTATTTGGCTCTTAACAAGTGGGATACTCCCCATTTTCCCCTAACTACCTAGAAGCCTGATCATTGTATAAGTAATTTAATATTTAGAAATGTGTTCATGAATCCCAGGGGAGAGTTTTGAAGCAATGTTGCATGGTCTGCAAACTCACTGTTCTTGTAGGACAGGCATGATCATTGAATAAAGGGAACAGAAACAAGACAACATTGTTTACACATTAAATCCCTATGCTTTGATATATGTTGTCCCTGAATTTTCAGGTATTTTTTTCTGCAGATGTGACAATGCATTCACAGAACTACTTCACTGCTTTAATACTTAATTTAGATCATGCATAGGAACTTCTGGTTTCCTACACATTGCTTGGACAAATAATGCCCATCATTTCAATGAGTATATGCACTTAGTGGTAAATAAATAGTTTGCTGTATTGGAAAAAAATTCAGAGAAGTGCAACTGAAATGATTGAAGAGTTGCAGCAACTACCCTGTAAAGAATAAATTCAGAGAAACATCACAAATTTTACAACAGCTACAACATACAGCAAAGAATGATCATGAAAACCATCTGGGATGGGTAATCCCTGTTAAGCCCCTGAGTAGCCAAGAAAATCTTTAAAGGCCTCAGGTAAAGGGCTATCCTGGCACTGAACTGATGACAAGTCTGGTGCCTGGCGGGCTTGATTGAGGAGGAGGTTCCATAGATCAGGGGCCACAACAGATTGTTGTTGCTAGCCTCTGATCCTCCCTTGGACTTAGCACTCAGAAGGCCCCAGAGGTTGAGTGTATTGTCCAGGTAGATTGTAGTTGAAATGATGCTTCTGATTCTGTTCCTGCTGATGACAGAACAAAATGTGGCATCAGTACATACTTTTTGGTAACCTTATTCATGCTGAGTTAGTAAACATGTTGGGAAAAGAAGGAATTAGGTGATTGTTCAGAAAACATGGACTTCTACTACTACTTGTTTGTCTGGAAGAAATAAGGGATATCTATAGGATTATTATAATATTTACTTGTATTTCTGCGCTGCCCATCTGACCAAAGGCTTCCTGTACTGTTCACAGAATCAAAAACACAATAGGTAATATAAAACAATCATAAAATCACAACAGTACAGTTAATGTAAATACAGTGATACAATAAAACAATTCTATCAATCGCAAGTGCAGCTAAATCAGTATTAAAGATGCAGTACAGTAAAAATGGGAAGAAAAATAGAACTATAAAAATACTGGGAAAATTAAAAGGTTTTCACCAGGTGCTGAAAGAAACAGAGAGTGGGCATCACACCTTTTTGAGAGCTGATTCCACGGATGGGGTGTCGCAACCAAGAAGGCCCTTCCCCTAGTAGCCTCCTTCCTAGCTTTCTTTGGAGGGGGCTCTCTGAGAAGGACCTCTGATGATGATCTCATGATCTGGGTAGGCACATAAGGAAAGAGGCATTCCTTTAGATAAGCTCACCCCAAACTGTTTAGGGCTTAAATGTTAATATGCTTTGAACTACCTCAATCAGTAACCTATATAATTGATAGAGGACTGGTGTGAGGTGTTTGTCAGTCGGTTCCCAGTAGCACCCTTGCTGCTCTATTTTGAACCAGTTGAAGTCTATGGACCATTTTCAAAGGCAGCCCCACGTAGAGTGCATTAGAGTAGTCCAGAGGAGAGGTCAAAAGAGCATGGGTCACTATTCCTTGGCTCTGCCAAGGAGGTCCAGGTGGAATTCTAGAGATGGTCATTTGTACCTTTTGGATGTTACACATGTCAATTCAGTCTGCCAGCTTAGTATTGTATTTCTGTGTACTGTGGAACTGGATTTGTTTAAAAAATACATGGCCCTTCTTTGCTGCTTAAACAGAGTTAGGGTAGTGCTTTCATTTAACTTTCTTCTAAGGACTTTATTTACATTAGAAAAATGGAACCTGCCCAGCAATCCTAGGTGCCCTTGACATTTATTTAAGAGTTGCCTTGTCTGGATACTATTTTCATTTCTAACAATTCTTTTGAAATAGTGATAAGATAAATAGTGATATAACCTTAGTATATAAGGTTCCTGGCACTGATACATATAGATTTAATCAAATTTTTAAAAATCCTTTTGATAGGTGCAAAATAGATCTTATCTATTGACTAGATCAAATCTGAAGATGTACAACAGCACAGTTATACTAACCTTTATATTCAGTGTTTTATAACTTGAAGGTATTGCAAAGACTGCTGGTTTGTCTTCTGTAGTTTGTTAAAATTTTGTAAAACAGAAGCATCCAATCTTTTAAAAACCCTAAATTATAAAGCAGTATTTTATAGAAAGTAGTGGAGACTGAATTGTAAGGTATATATTAGAACTGTATTGGCTTTATATTGTACTTTTTGATTTTCCATTATTTGGCTACATATAACCTGTGCATCCTCTTTATAAGTGCAACAAATGCTAAACTACCAATGCCGAATACATTGAAGTAATTGTATGTATTCTGTCCTTAAATATGAAATAAGTTAATAAACTATTCAACCCTGTTTGTTTGTGGCAATGTGCATGTGATAACAGATTTCAGTGCACAGATGGCTACTGCCACCATGTATGCTATAGGCTTCTATGGGAATAGTCATTTGGACAATGAAAAGCTTTCCTGCTCAGTCCAGACTGGAAGGTGATCAGTTCTTTTCAGACAAGGACTGCATATGCATGACTAAAAATTGAGACTGCTTTTCAAATTATCTCCTTATTTACTGTCTGCAGCATTTTTTGCCATTATAGTAACAGGACTGAGCTAGACATGGCCAGACACTTGTGTGTGTCCTGCATCATATAATCTGACATATAAACTATGCTCAGTTAAAACTAGAAACTTGTTTTTTTTCATAAATGAAAACTGTCAGGATTCTTAAAGTATTTGCAGGCTACTGGAGAGTTTCTTAAGGGCTGCTATATTGACAGTAGAACTGAGGAATAGAAATACAAATTATTATTATGAAGTAGAGATGTACTTTGACAGCATAATCATGAGTCATCAAATAGGAGATTTAAAACAAGCTACCCATGCTTTTCAACCCTAAAGATGCACAATTGAGCCTTCAGGTACAAGTAAATCTGATTTTTAATCAGAAACAGAAACATTTTTTTCATATCTGAGCACTAAATCCTCTGTATTCCACCTGTAGTTAAGTTTTCCTCTCTCTCCTGCAGTGCAGGGTTTTGGAAAACTGCAATGTGATATTTCCTGATTGTCTTCTGCTGGCAACTGGCTTTTGTCTCAGAAGAAACCAGTTTCACTACTTTGCCCAGCTAAATTTGTATGTAAGATATATGCAGCTGCCAGCAGTCTGCACAGGAAGCTTATACCAGAACAACAAGGCAATCAAACAATAGAAAAATTTGTTGAGCAATAAGAAGGTACCCTTTTAATCTGCTTTAAACTAGCAGGGGAAACTTTATAATTTTTAAATACAAAACAATTAATTGGTACTGAAGAAAATAAAGCACCTAGGAAATACTTTGTTTCCCATGACAGGTTCCCAGAAAACATTCTGGCTGTTGAGATTGCATTGCTTCTCATTGGTTTCTCATTGCTTGGTTTCTCAAATGTGATGGCTTTTCTCCAAAGTTACACAGTCCATGAAAAGGCATTGCTTGAGGTGACATGAAAACTCTAGTTATGTTCTGTGCTGGCTCATTCATGGATGTAAGTTCACCTGATGTAAATGTATATATGAATCACATGTACATTGTTCTTCTGCCAGCACTATTACCACCTTTACCTCTCTGACTTTTGATACTTGAGAGTATAATTAGAATAACTAGAGGCCTCTTGTCTTCAGTTTCTTCCATGTGGCATTGCATTCCATGTATAACTTAACAATAACATTAGTTTATTGATATTTTATCAGTAGACATGAGAGAAATTTGCATCTTTTGTGAATTAATTATGTTAGAACTGAGTGATTTTGCATGAATGTGACATCTTCTATCATTTAGCTAGAATTAGTTCAAATTATGCATGCAGAATAAACTTCATGGAAATTATTTGTAGACTTTAGCTTCTTTTTAGCTTCCCTGTTTATACTTCACCCTGGACAGGTCATTTTTATAATCTCTGTTTTGATACCTATTGACAGGTCCTTCAAAATGGCCAAATAGCACATTGGATAAGACTAGCAGTAGTCAACAAGCTTTTTAAAAAGTTTTGCGCATTAACTTTTCTTGCCATACTTGCTAGCTGCACAAGTGCAGAAATTGGGAACCACAGTTGGGGCAATGTTGGAGGGTACCAGATGTTAGAATGCAACCTTTGCATATTTTGCACTTTTTCCTAAAACTCTAGGAAAATATTAAGACCAGGATCAATGCAGGGTTTGTTTGCTCAAGAAAGTGAAAAATTGCATCCTGTCAACTTTTCTACCATCTTTAGCTGTCAAAACTCTTGATCCTTTTTAAAATAGAATTTTGAAAGGGTAATGGGTGCTTTTTGATTGGGACAGCCATATATAGGCTCATGGTCTGACATCTAGTGTACTTCCCTGACATTGCCCCACTGAGGTTCCTGATTTGTGCAGTTCTGCAATTGTGGCTCTTCTTAAAATAAAAATAAAATATTTGTGCACATAATTTAAAAAAATAGCTAACCAGCGAGAACCTCGGTGTGCTACTTGGCCACTCTGAAGAGGCTGTCAGTGTATGTTAAAACAGATTGAGAAAGATGTTTGTTAAGTCAGATTTTGCTATCAAAAAACAAACAAACCAAACTAAAGGGAAATGAGCTGTTGCAAGCTGAAATCAACAAATCAGTCCTGCAGAGTCTGCTGGGATATTCATGGAAGGACCAAGAGAGAAGGAGCAGGTAAACAACCCATGGTAAGAACCATGAGTTCTCATAACAACCAATCTACCATGGCTTATTGCCAAGGTGGGTTACTGTGACATGAGGATAAGGCCTTTAAGTGAACAAGGGACAATTTGAAAAATTGTACTTGCAACAGGAGTAGAACTCTTAAACATATGTTTGGTTTTCTTTCAAATAGTTATTAGTGTTTAAATCAGACAGTATATGCTTAGCAGATGTTTTTGCGCCTAACAAAAATGCTAGAACAGTTTGCATGTGTGGCAATGAAAGTAGCGGTGCAGCTACTGTTTATACCAAGGAACTGTTGAATTTTCCACCAATAATTCTAAATTTTGCATTTGGGATAAACATTTAAGAAATATAGTTAACTGTGAATATATTAAACATATATGCAAAATGTCTGCTTCCATGTACCTTGTGGTTGCTATATCAGAACAGTTCAACACTTTGATCTCATTCCAGAACTTAGGAACCATAGGTTTAAGTCAGGACTTGTCTTTTTGTCAGCTCCACATGTGTTTTAAGGCACAATTATTTCTCATATTAGAAATTTGTCTTGGATTATGGCTTGCATCTAATTTACTTTATTTACTTTTTTTGCATTTCAAGATTTCTGTCAAGAGTTTGGAACAATAATATGCCTTCACTATTTCTATTTGTAGTATTTGCTCCCATAACTAATACCTTGAGTGTACAGGAACTGTTATGGGTAGCTGATAAGAAATATTATTATATATGAACTCCTTCACCTAATCATGGAGACACTTTTACAGGGGTTTTAAATTTAGTGTTAACTATTGTATCCTTGTTTTTGCAGGTGCAAGTTCAGGTTCAGCAGTCCCCTCAGCAAGTTTCTACCCAGCAGCTTTCCCCCCAGCTCACTGTTCACCAAGCTTCAGAGCAGCCAATACAAGTTCAGGTGCAGATCCAAGGCCAGGCACAACAGCAGGCATCCCAGACAATACAGGGTCAAGCACTTCAGAGTCCCAGTCCTTCTCAGTTGCAGGCAGCTCAGATCCAAGTGCAACATGTGCAGACTGCTCAGCAAATCCAGGGTGCAGAAATACAGGAAGAACATATACAGCACCAGCAGATTCAGGCCCAGCTTGTGGCAGGACAGGCTATTGCTGGAGGCCAGCAGATCCAGATTCAGACAGTTGGGGCACTTTCCCCTCCTCCATCTCAGCAGGGCTCACCACGGGAAGGTGAGCGAAGGATCAGTACTGCCAGCGTCCTCCAGCCAGTGAAGAAGCGCAAAGTGGATATGCCTATTACTGTGTCGTATGCTATTTCAGGGCAGCCGGTTGCCACAGTCCTGGCCATCCCCCAGGGTCAGCAGCAGAGTTATGTATCCTTGAGGCCGGACTTATTAACAGTGGATAGTGCCCATCTGTACAGTGCCACTGGGACCATAACCAGCCCTACCGGGGAGACTTGGACCATCCCTGTTTACTCTGCACAACCACGTGGCGACCTGCAGCAGCAAAACATAACCCATATTGCCATCCCACAGGAGGCCTACAATGCCGTCCATGTCAGTGGCTCCCCAACGGCTTTGGCCACTGTCAAGCTGGAAGATGACAAGGATAAGATGGTGGGAGGTGCATCAGTAGTGAAAAACTCTCATGAGGAAGTCGTGCAAACTCTTGCCAACTCGCTTTTTCCAGCACAGTTTATGAATGGCAATATCCACATTCCAGTGGCAGTGCAAGCAGTGGCAGGGACCTACCAGAATACAGCCCAGACAGTTCATATATGGGACCCTCAGCAACAACAGTCCACACCACAGGAGCAGGGGCAGCAGCAACAACAGCAGCAACTACAAGTTACTTGCTCAGTAAGTAAATTATCTTAATGGGTAATGTTCCCTCAGTGTTGTGTGTTCTGAATATATTGATTATCTTTTCTTTGAAAAAGACACTATAAAGTCTGTCTGCATATTTTGTTAGAGCACCTCTGTTCTCTGCTCAGACAAATGCATAAATTATTTTCCCATAAAGTTCCTAGGTTTTCATATAATACTCTGACCTGAAATCCTATATGCTCTTACACAATTTAGTGTCTTGTGTATGAAAAAGTGGGCATATGATGAAGGTGCTGACAGGTTGCCAGACAAGGTACATAAATTCTGCACCTTTCTATAATAGAGCATTGGCAGAAACTCTGCATGCTTTGAAATATTTGGATTTATACATATATACACACACCTACTTTGATGACCAGGCTCTGTGTTCTTTTGCACTTTGTCATCCAGGCAGAAAGATGTTACTCTGCATGATTGCAGAAGGTAAGCAGTCCTTCCCAGAAATACAGAACTCATACAAATTTCCTGTTTCGTATGTTCACAACTTTGAAACTTAGGACTGGGTTCTTTACTCCAGATGGCAAGAAGGATGGAGGAAATGTTGATGCTGTATTAAGAGGCAGAAGGACAATGTTGCACTTCCTTCCTGCTCTGAACATGAGTGTTCCATGATTGCACTAGTGTACATAGGGAACACAATCTAAGAGAGGCATGTTAAATATGAGAGGCATGTTAATGGTATCCATGAATGAGATTTGTTAGATCAAAAGTGGTGCTAAGACAAAAATCAAATAATTGGTTTGGAAAACAGCAACTTCCTTGAATCATAGGCAGCAATACTTAGGAAGATGGCTTTCTGATATAATTCTGACATCTCTCTGATATCTCAAAAGTGTCTCTCTAACATAAACCTATGTTGTGGATTGAACCTATGACCATATAAAAAAATGTGTGTGTTGGAGCTTTAGACCAACATACATACATCTGAACCTTACTTCATACATGGTAGTGAGATTCAGATACACAAATCTATATGGTATAGGTCAGGGGTCAGCAACCTGCATCTCTGGAGCTGCATGTGGCTCTTGAATGCCTCTGCTGCGGCTCTGTCACTTGCGTCACAGCCGCTGCCAATCCGCGGCCCATGCCAGCACAGCAGCGCGGCAGCCACCACTGCTGATCCGCGGCCCATGCCAGCACAGTGGCGTGGCCGCCTCCAGCCAATCCGCGGCCCATGCCGGCGCGGTGACAGCCGATCCACAGCCCATGCTGGCACAGCAGCACGGTGGCAATGACCGCCAATCTGCGGCCCGTGCTGACTGATCGCGGCCCATGTCAGCACAGCGCCTGGATAAATCGAAGAAAAGTTTCTGAAGAAAACCAAACGTTTAATGATACTTGGGTAGATTCATTTGCTTTTACTGCTGACGAACTTAACAGGGTTTGCTGTTTAATGCATGGAGCCCTTTAGCACTGACTTTGACTCTTCAGGAAGCTGTTCTCCTATTCAAAATATATGAAAGGAGTCCTACTAGTTTATAATGTAAGATTAAAAATAACAGTTTTTAGTGACTGATCAAGAGCTGCAGCTAAATCATAATGAAGATATACATAGCATTAACGTAAAAAACAATATATGCAGTGTTATCTTCATTTTAGATGTCAAAAGGGTTTTGCGGCTCCCGGTGTTTTCTTTTGTGTGGGAAATGGGTCCAAATGGCTCTTTGAGTGTTAAAGGTTGCCGACCCCTGGTATAGGTGTTTTGGTTAGTTTGGGAGCATCAGTAAATGATGTGATATCCAGACCTAATATTTGTTGGTGAGTTTATAGCATTACAGTGTGTGAAGACAGCCTGCACCCCAATTCCTAATATGCAAAACTATCCCATAATGTGCCAACTCATGGCAGCGGTTTGACCATCTATGGTACCGTTTTGTAGAAGATGCAACTTCAAAAAAAGCCAACTGGCAGAAGTTAAATACAATATTGGATACCATTCCAAATATCCATCTGCTCAGAGAGAGACCTGTTGTGAAGGCATTTAAAATATCATCTTACCTGTCTGTAGAATGAAGATACAGAACTATTTACATCGAAGGCCTAACATTGGAAAGAAATAGTTTTTTTAACTCAACAGTTTTTGTTTACACTCTGTTGGCTGGACAGTAACTAGTTTCTTCAGCCTCAGAAACCAAAAGCAATAAATGGATAAATTTTGTGGAAGAAATAAATATTTCAAGAAGCAGTCAAAAGGCTTGGAGACTTCCAAAGTGTCTCAGTAATCCAGCAAAAGGGGGCCCAGTCACATAAATACTACAACAAATCAAATAGCTTGTCAACTCCTTATTAACAGCAACCCTGAACACACTCATACAAAAGCAGAACACAAATCCAAAATGGATAAATACTTGGAAACCAGTATCCTCACAAGATCTTTCAACATATGTTAACTGGACGAAGCCACTTGCAGCTGTAAAAATGAAAACTCACCAGGCGTTGACAAATATTCAGGTAGAACAGATTTAAAAGTTTGGTGCAGAAAGAATAAACTGACTTTCTCTTTTAAGTAAGTACCTTGATTCTCATAGGATTCCAGAAATTTGGAGGAAGTCACATGTGATTATTATCTTGAAACTCAGTAAAAAGACACAGACCTGAAAAAAAATTAGGCTGATCTCACTACTCTGCCATCCCTGTAAAGTTATGGAAAGAATTATTCTTAACAGCGTGATGGAGGCTGTTGAACCACTCCTTATTTCTAACAGACTGGCTTTAGACAACAAAAGAACTACACAGCATAAATCTTGTATTGAGCACAACATATTAACTTTGGCTTTGAAACTAGAAAAATCACTGGGGTAGCCTTTGTTGAACTCTCAGCCTTATACAGTACTGTTGAACACAAAATACTATTGCAAAAACTGTATAAGTTAACTGAGTTAATGGCAACTTTTCTGCAATGTTGCGAATTTTTTGTTAACTTTCAAGGACAACACAGCCAATAGAAATCTCAAAAGAATAGCTTACCCAAAGGTAGTGTATTGGCCCCTATCCTGCTTCATATCCATGCTAACAGTCAAACTCTTCCACCAAGGTACTAAAAGGTTTTTTATACCAATGACCTTGTGTTTGCTGCTCAGTTAGTCAGCTTTGAAGTAGTAGAATATATCTTAATGTATTAGATGAAGTTGGCAACTACTGTAATAGAAACCAACTGAAGTCCAATCCTTTCAATGTAGAATTATATGCTTTTGACTTGAGGAATAAGCAGTCATCTCATAAACTTCAGGTTCTCTGGAAGAGTGTCTAATTAGACTGCTGCTGTATTCCCAAATATTCAGGTGTCACTTTGGATCACATGCTGACGTACAAGGAACATTGCCAAAACTTAAAACAAAAGGTCTCTGTTAGGAATAATATCTTTCAGTACGCAACCACAAATATTAAGAATCATAGCCTTGGCCTTAAGCTATTCTGCAAGTGACTACATCAGCCCGATGTGGTAATAGCTCAGTCCCTGCAAGACTGCTAGATACAGCACTTAACAAAATCTGTAAAATAATCATAGAATGTGTGAAGCCAAGCCTCAATGACATAATTAACTCTTTAACTGGTGTTGCACCTGGAGACATAAGAAGAAAGGTAGCGGCCAAGAACAACAAACTCAAAAGCATCTACCTCAAATGTATACTTTTGGCTACCACCCAGTACACCCTCCACAAAAGAGTAAATCAAGGAAAAACGCTTTCTCAGAACACTTGAAAAATGTGATGAAACAGCAGAGAATGCCAGGATCAGCCTGTGGAGAGAAAGATCTACCCATTTTCTAAAATGGATGGAACCCCAGGAAAGCTTGGATCCCAGCTACACAGCAAATTGAGTAGTTTGAGATTGTTAGGCTAAGGACTAGTGCTCACAAATCTAAGAAGAACCTGAGAAAATGGGTCTTTCTCACAGACACAGTCCAGTGCAAATTCAATGATGAGCAGGCCATTTGACACTGATGTCCCTATACCCTATGTCCCTCAGCATGCCCTTAATATCCTGCAGTATTGGACAAACATCTGACACATATGTCCAGGTTTTATGACCATATTGTTGCATTTTGGGATTTACACATATTTTTTTTATGAAGACCATTGCTTTTATTTTATTGTATGGCCTTTTTCTTTATTGTATTTGTGGTGCTTCTGACATGAAAAAAGAAAAGTATAGAGGAACCTGACTTTGCTGGATAGGAGCTTGAAAATGGTTGTGCCTATTGCAGTGTAGAATAGTGTTCCTATCAAATGTGTGTGGTATGACTTTTGTTAACTGGAGTGGCAGAATTATCTAGTCTTTGTGTTCCTGTTTGAACTATTAGTATGAGTGGTTATGACTGCTCACATGTTTTAAATACATCTATTAAATAAGGTGTAGAATTTTTTCCCCAAACATTAATACTTAATTTAAAATAAAATTGGATCTCTATTCTTTGTTCAGTTTCGCGTCGAACTGTTTTTGTTTTGTTTTGTTTTGTTTTGTTTTGTAGCAAAATAGTATGCAATACTCTGGGATATGTTGTAGCCTTCGAATCTTAACAGTATTGGCCTCCCAGAACTAATACTGTTATGGGTTTATAATATGTTTCTAATGTTGTCTCAGAAGCATGAAGAATTTGACGTATTTATTGTTTGAGATTTATCAAAGTCAATGTATGTTGTCTTTCCTGATGCCATCTAGTCTCTTGCAGCTCTTTAGTGTTTAGTAAAGCTGTTTCCTGAATGCCATTGGTTCTCTCTGGAAGGACATTCATTTTTAGAGTTCTCAGATTAGGGATTTTATATTACTATATTATTGATTTCATTTGTACTCTGCCTTTCTAACCAAGAAAATTGCAGTTAAGGTGGCTATTGACCTTTTATGGCAGAATTGACCCTGCACAACAGTACTTTTATTAATAGTCATTATCATTCTTCCTTTGATCCAAAATTATTTTGATAAGGTATCCACTAAATAATCAGTAGGTAGAATATCTCTAGAGACTAATAGCC